TAAAGGCTAGTCCAGACTGAAGGCTAATTTGAGCTAAAGGCTAGTCCGAGCTAAAGCCTGGCCAGATTGGCATTGTATCCAACCTAAAACATCTCCAGTCTCAAAGCTTCAGATCGTTTCATGAGATCAATAAATTTATAAACTGGCATCAGTTGTGCAGAACACAGTTTTTATTATTTACGTGAATCTATAAATATCTGCAGCTGTTGCAGGAACGGGTCCTGTAATCCTTGGGCTGAGGGTTCGAGTCCAGGTTGGTTAAGAAAAGACAGCGGCATTAAACCGACACCTCGTGTGTGGCGTCAGTTTGTTCTTCACCTCCGTCAGGGAGCGGCTGAAAGAACAACGAACGAACGAGTCCCTGCCGTTGTTCCAGGACGGCATCAGTCCACTTTGGTGCTGGTTCTGTTCACAAGAGCCGTGTGTTTAGTCAAAGTGCTGAAAGCATCTACAGCAGGTAAGACACTAACTGTGGTGCCACTTTTCGTGGTTGGTCTGGATCTTTTCTTGGATGAACATCAGTCTTCTGGGACGTTAATGGACCTTTCTGAACGTGCAGCCTCATCCCTCGTTCACAGCCTGACGTTAAAGGATGAGGAGCTCTGTGAGCCTCAGTCACTCCCTCCTCCTCCTCCTCCTCCTCCTCCTCCTCCCCATGTGTCATTCTACTTGTGTTCTCCTGAGCCGGCAGCAGTCCGTCTTCGTCTCTCCTGTCCTGAACATCTCCGTCTGCTGCTCAGGAGCCTCAGGAAGTTCTCTCAGGCTGGATCCGCTCGTGTTCACCAATGGATGGAGCCTGTCGCCCGGAGACTTCTTGACCAGTGAGTCACAACTTCTGCTCCATAAAAACTGAACCTTCTAAATCTGGATCTTCTAATCATTCGTGATGAAGCCCGACCAGGACATTATTAAAAATACATTTAATTCTTTAGGTTTTACAGTTAAGTGTTCATTCTATATTAGTATTTTTTATTAAACAGCCCTTTGTCTGACTCCGTTGTTTAATTTAAATATAGAAAATAATTTATTTATTAGATGGACATCAAAAGAAAATGATGTGAACGTTTGATTTGTCTAAAGATGAACAAACTCTGGAGATAATGCAGAAAATAAAAGATACATTTCATTAAACTGGATTAAAAAGTTTATTTCACCATGTTCAGTTTTTCATTAATTTAAGGAAAAGACGCAGTTTGAACCTAAATTAAAACAGAATAAAACAAACGAGTTTATTGAAATTATAACTGCGAGCGACCGTGGGAAATATTCTGCTGCGTTTTAATTTAAACATTTTTTAACAGACGAGTAAAATTTAAAACTTCCCGTTTCAGAAAAATGTAACTTCAGTTTTAGTGTCAATCATTTCAGAAAGTGAAACTCATAAATGATAAAGATTCAATACAGAGTGAAATATTTCAGACTTTATTTCTTGTAACTTTAATAATTATAAGTTACAAAAAAAAAAAAAGAAATAATAATAAATCACTTTCTGAAATGATTGACAGAAAATATGGAATTTTTCACAATATTCTAACATTTTTAGACGCATTCATCAATGTTTTATTAAAATAATTCAGTCTGATAACTGATTTATTAATTTTTTTAACCATTTGAGAACCAATAAAAAGTCTCCACGACCTGTTTTTTGGCCGGGACCCACACCTTGAAGATCCTCTCTAATAATAATAATAATAATTTTTATTAATAAGAAGTTTTATTAATAATAATAATAATAAGTTTTAATAATAAGATTAAGTTTTATTATTATTAATAATAATAATAATAAGTTAATAATAAGCTTTATTATTAATAATAATAAGTTTTAATAATAATAGCAAGTTTTATTAATAATAATAATAATAATAATATCAAGTTTTCAGAGCTTAAAGTTAAGAAGTTTGATTAAAACTGACCTGTGCAGTTTTATTTTTACATGTTTTAATCTTTTAATTGAACCTCCACTTTAGCTCTGGTTAACATTTTTAGCTTCGTCAGGTTCAGCTCATAAAATTAATAAGTTTGATTGAAGCGCTTCGGTGCTTTATTAGACACATTGTTAGCCTAATAATTATTAGCCCCAGCTGTGTTGTTGTTGGCCACAGGCGCCTCTGGGTGAAGCTTCGAGGCTTCAATCAACAAAACGGTGACAAATGACGAGCAAGTGTCGGCGCCGAATTTTACACAGCTCAACAAAACATCCGTTAACCTGAAAATATTGTTTATTAACAGATAAGTATTTGTTAATAATCAAGATGAAGCTAAATGTCGATATTTTTGAATGGATTTCGCCGTACGGTTAATTAAAGCGCTGCCATCAGGTTAAACAATAAAGCTTTTGGTGTTTAATGGTGGCGTGCCTTTAGCTGATAAAGTAGCTAAAGCTTTGAAACAAGTTCTACCTCAGTGATGATGAATGTGGAAAAAATGTACTTTTTAAATTTAAGAAGATCTGAAGGGCAAACCAGAAAAAACTTGTTTAGGTTTATTATTATTTAATATTAATAAAAAGGTTCAACCTGGCAGCAGTTTTAATGTGAAAATCTTAATTATTTCTATTTCAAAGCACCTTTCAAAGCTAAAATATTAAATTATCTTAAAAATCTGCTTTATCGCCCGTTTTGGGGCTGAGCTGAAGGATCTAAGTTTTGTCTGCTGGTAAATATTAATTTTTGCTGATGGTAACCGGCTGTTGGGTGAAACTAAAGCACGAGGAGTTTTTACAGAAGCGCTGGTTCCAGATCAGCCGAAGGTCTGCTCCTGCCTCTGAAGGACCTCTGACAGGCCCAGAACCCCCCAGACCTGGACCAGTCGAGCTCACACGGAGCTCCTAACGAGACAAGTGTCGATCCAGACACGGGCAAAATAAACGTGACAACGTGCACGTTTATGTGCACATTAATTTAATGTGTTCAAACAAACGATCAAAGATGGAATATTAAATGTTAGTTCCAGTTAAAAAAAAATAACTTTTTTTACGATGTTTGTAAAAAAAAAAAGAAATCTGCAGGTTTTGTATAAAAATAATAAAACATCCTCTAAAGAGTTTTCAGAATATTTTCTGTCATTTAGTTTTAATTTTAGTCCATTTGTTCTGACATGAATCGGTTGTTAAAACATGTTTGTTTAAGAGGTCAAAGGTCACGGGGTGGGGGGTAAATCTTCATGCTCTGCTCCCTCAGACACCACAACCATTTAGTTTTTTTATTTCCACGTTGACGTCTCATTAATGGCTTCATGACTGCTCCAGTTGGAGGGACACGTCTAACCGAGGTGGGGGGGGGAGCGTTATGATCCATTATCCCAAATATTCAGAAAATGTGTTTATCAGAAGCAGCTGGGGGTGGAGGGCATGAAACCAGAACGGGTTCTGTGAGGACGTTCAGGTCTTCTCCCTCAGGTGGCTTTAGGCTTCGGGTCGTTTGGTCCTGATGGAGGATCCAAACCCTCGGCTGTAACGTGCACGCACCGCAGCAGAGCACGCCTGCCGTTCAACTAAAACACCGTCAGATGATTTAATCAAGCGACGCGTGCGGCGGTGTCAGCTGCTTCCCAGGAGCCCAACTCAACCGACATGTGCACGTTGTGAGCGTGATGACCTGAAAAACTAGAGAGGTACCGACGTCCATTTTGGTGTGCGGCTGCATGTCGGCGCACGAAAGGTCGCTGTCGAAAATTAGGTTGGTTCAAAATCCAAGATGGCCACCACCGTAAATATGTAAACTGTAAACTTTGATCATTTGAGACGACCGTGGTCACTCGATTTTGATTAAAAGTAATCTTCTTCTCTCTTCTTTCTTCTTTCATCTTCCTTTCTTCTTTCTTCTTCCTTCTTTCATCTTTCGTCTTCCTTTCTTCTTTCTTCTTCCTTCTTTCATCTTTCGTCTTCCTTTCTTCTTTCTTCTTCTCTCTTCTTTCTTCTTTCATCTTCCTTTCTTCTTTCTTCTCCCTTCTTTCTTCTTCCGGCTTTTCCCTCTCCAGGGGTCTCCACAGCGAGTCCTCTCTCCATCTACCTCCATGTCCTCTCTAACTGCATCCATATATCTCCTCTTGGTCTTTTGTTCATTTGATTAAAAGTAAAGTTTCTTTAAATAATCGGGATGGCCAAACTTTAATCTTGGCCACCATGAGCCCCCCTCCCGCTCCACCCCTGGCGGTGGATAAAATGTCTCCCTCCTCTCTCCAGGATCCGTCACTCTGACGAGGAGCGGTTTCACTCCAGACACGCGATGACGTCATTTTCTTCTTCAGCTGTCGTGAGAAGTTTCCACCAAACGGAGGATGATCAGCTCTTACGTCAAACCAGAGGCGATAAGAAATAATTCACTTTAAAAAAGCATCTCGAGGGCCAGATGTTAACTGGGGCCACATCTGGCCCTCGGACCTTGAGTTTGACACGTGTACCTCCTACCGTGTCTTCCAGCAAAAACATTTAGGTTTAAATGAAGGTGATGAAGGTGATGAAGGTGATGAAGCTGCGTTTGAATCTTTTCAGTGAAGTTCAAAGTAACGACACAAACCGCACGTTTAGACGACGGCACTTCAGACTTTGTTTGTGACCGAGCGCGTCACGGTGGCGTGCACGTCTCAAACGCCCTCACGTCTGTCACTGCAACCTGCCGAGCTCCAAACACTCGATAATAAACAGGTTGGTGTTTAGTCTGCGCGGCCGCCGGCTCCTCGTCCTGTAAATAAAGACGGGGGGTGAAGACGGTTTGTTTGAGGCGTTGCTGCATCAACGTTTTACAAAACACTTTGTTTGTTTTAAATCTCAGACTGTCACTCCACACTGGGCGCTCCCCCGGAGGCGTGCAGAGGGATGGAGCTGAGCGGAGGAGGAGGAGGAGCGGAGAGCCCCGGGCGCCCGGACAGGGCCAGCCCTGAGGAGAGAGGGGCCGGGGGGGCGAGCCCGGCCTCCGGCGGCCCCCCGCAGTGCAAGCTGAGCCGCCTGGAGGTGAACGGCAGCCCGGCGAACCCAACGGTCCGACAGAACGGCAGCACGCCGCTCAGACCGCCAGCAGGTGAGGACTCGACTAAAAACAGCCGAAGCTGCTCCAAACAGCTAAAGATGCAGAACTTAAACACAGAAGTTTGTCCTCAACTCGTAGCATAAATTAAAAACACGTTTAAACATCGACGAATCACCTGAAATATATTTACCGAAGTTAAACGAGTTTCTTTTACCCAAAAGTCCAATTTAGGAGAAAAAACAACAAAAGAACACAAATAAACCTGAAAAACTGTGATTTCTTATTTTTAAGTTTTAAATCACAGCCAACTGATCAAAAACACACTTTAGTTATTTTTTTACAACAAAAATATAAATTAATTGTGTTAAAGTTACATTTACTAATAAGGCAGGTTTATAAACAAATAAAAAATAAAATAAAACCAGCAGGTAAAGGAGGAACTTGATGGTTTCAAAGATCTGATGAATTTAAACTGTCAGCCGGTGGAAAGAAGTTCTTAGAGACAATTTAAAAGACTGCATTTAGGCTTATTGTGACATTGGGGGTGGGGGGTCCCCAGGTGAGATGTTGCCTTACAAAATAAAATAAAACTTAACTGTGATCGAGCTGCGGCCAAAACAAGAAAACTGTGCAGGAAAAACATTTAAATCCAAAGTAGCAACCGAGACAAAAGAAGTACAATAAAAGCTGAATGTATAAGGCCCCGCCCACACTCACCTGTTCCTACTTCCTGTCAGGTGTTGTGACTTCCTGTCAGGCATCGTGACTTCCTGTCCAGTGTTGTGACTTTTTGTGACTTCCTGCCAGGTGTTGTAACTTCCTGTCAGGTGTCCTGACTTCCTGTCAGGTGT